CCCGTGTCCCCTCGGCGCCCCACCCCTCACGTGCGTGCTGGGGCCGTCTCCGGCATCGGGCGGCGTCTGCCGCAGCGTCACCCTCGGGTGCTGGCGGACAGCTGGCGGACCTCCTGGCCTGGGTCTGGAGTGGCCTCTGCACTGCCCGTGCTGCGGGCAGGCTGCGGTGCGGGCGGGCACAGAGGGCCTGCGTCCGGAAGGCGGCTCTGCCGCCCAGCAGCCCGGGCCAGGGGGCACTGCAGGGCCAAAGAGTCGGGTCGTGGCTGCGCGTGACCGGGACGCGGCCACCGAGGGGCTGGGGGGCCACGTCACGGTTGCGTGGCTGGCCCTGCCCCTGCAGGCCTGCAGCCTTGGGAGTGAGTCCAGGGGGAGTGAGTGCAGGGGCAGCGACTGCGACCGACTCAGGTTGGCCGCGTGTTCGGTGGCCGCTGGGCTCTCAGTCCTGAGCCTCGCGGGCCCCGCCTGCAGCCGCGGGGAGCTGTGCTCCTGCGTGGCTTTTGGGTCGCCGGGGCCAGGGCAGACCCCGCGTGTCGGTCACAGCTGGTCTCTGGACACGACTGGCGTCTCACGGGTGAGGACCTCCCCACGCCACGCGCCAGGACGTGTCATCTGGTGTGGGGCTGTGGGCACCCGGGGCGGCAGGCCCCGGGGTAGCAACCGACTGGCTCCCCGAGGGCGCGTTACGAGCTGCCACTGCGCGCTCCCGGTCATGGCCCCAGGTGGAGGTGGGGGCCGGCTCCTGGTGCCCAGCGGGACGCACTGTGTGGGGAACAGGCGTGGGGCGGGTGAGGGCGCGCGCGGGACGGCCGCTGTCCCGGGGTCAAGCGTGTGCCAACCATGGCCGCTGCTGGGCGCCTTCCCTGTCTTGTTCCTTTGCCGCTGTGGCCCGAGGTCTTACCCACGTCATGCCGTGGGCCCAGCTCGGGGCTGGGCTGGCCACGTTAGTCGTGTCACCACACTCCATTGAGGGGTCGGAAAGGCCCCACTGGCATCGCGGGGCTGCTTCCCGGGGAGTGGTCATCGCATGACCCTGCTGCTGCTGGAGGCGCTGGCCTGCGTTCGCCTTTGTTGGCCGGAGGGCTCCGGTGTGTCTCGTGCTGTCCAGGCTCTGGCCACAGGTGCGGATGTCCACCCGGCCTCCGTGACAGTGCCTGCCGGCGGGAGCCGTCTGCGGGCCGAAGGTGAGTCTCCCCACCCTCGTCCTAGGTTCACTTCAACCGCGACGGGTCCTTGATCGTTTCGAGCAGCTACGACGGCCTCTGGTAAGGAGCCCGCTCGGCTCAGGGCTCGGGTCGGGGGAGAACCGGCCGGGCGCCACCCTCGGGGCTCGTGGGGTCTGCTGGCCTGCCGTGGCGAGCAGGCGGCGCACAGGGCGAGATGCGAGGCCAGGGAGGGCCCCTGCGTGTAGACTGGCGTGGGCCACCACTCCCGGGCAGCGTGCCCAGAGCGCGGCGTCCTCGGGCCTGTGCGGTCTCGCCCTGCGGTCGGGTTCTCGCCACCTGGGAGCCCAGTGTCCCTCTGGTCAGGGACAGCGCAGGCCTCAACACCAGAGCCCCGGCTGCAGTTGAGAGCCACCGCGTGGGCAGCGTCTGCAGGTGGGCTGTGTGTCCGCGCCCGCCGCCCGCAGCGGGGAGCGTGGCC